TAAATGATTAAAATTGTTGAAATGCTGCTGTACTTCAGGGTTTCATTTAGTGAGTAATCGAGATGAGTTAAATGTAATCGAATCGAAGATGAAGTTAAATAGTTGCTCTTTAAATAGCAGTCAATCGAAATAGTTGAGAATGGATGAAACTAGTTTTAGTCGAAGGTCATTTATTTTCTTTACGCAAAGTTTCAAAAAACTCCACTGCACGATGGCTGCAATAACTTTACAGAATTCAACACAAGTTCAACGAGTGTGGCTTGACTCGCACTAATTCCTTTAGGATGATGATGCATGGATGTGCAGACTCAATGAGTGATTGACTAACCAGCTGTCGGTCTGACTGGCTAACTCATTGACTGACTGACTGGTTGACTGACTGAGTGAGTCGAGTAGAGACGAGTGCACAACAATAATGGCCACAAATGCAGCCGAGCACATTCAAAGTGCCAAGCTATCTGTATCGGCCGTGTCATTGTTATGGCTTACAGCTCAAATATTTACACCATTAATTGGCAATAATGCTGTCAATGCGATGGCTAGCTTCACAGTTTGTTTTGCCTTATAACCTAATTATTGCCTTTTAGCAGTTAAGCTTATTTCACGGCAATTAACGAATCACTCCACCTACTGAAGAAATTATTATAATTTGTTTCAGATTTTCCAATTTTTGTTCCTGTGTTGTGAAAATTTTGTTTGTTTGTGTTATCAACGTTTTAAGTATTAATCAAAGAAAAACAACAGCAAAAATTATCGCAGCACTTCCGGCACGAAGAAAAACAAAACAAAGTAGAGGAAGAAAATAAAAATAAAATTTTCTTCGACGGGGACATTGAACTACTCGGACGGTGCTCAGCCGGAGGCGTTGCGCAATATGTTAAAGCAACAATAACAACAGAAACCACAGCAACAACAGCAACAACAACAACAAGAGAAACATTAATAGAAATGGCAGCACGTAACATTAAACTTCAACAGCACAGAGTATTTGGGGCTTTCGGGCTGCGTTTTAAAGTTGAAATCATGATGTGCGCACACACAAGTATGTGTCGTAATATGAAACTGGCACGCGATCTCGACGACGACTGTGGCCAGCACTAACTATATAACTATATATACCTGCCTCACCGACTTAAATGAAATTTCTATGCAATTAAATTTAAATGTCGAATAAATCAAACCACTTTACAGGCACTTTACAGAATTGCCAGAAGGGAATCAATTAATGCGATCATTTTCATTTGTGTAATTATAGTATATGCAGCGATTTTACGGTTCAATAAATATAATCGTTGCCAATCAAATAGGCGTTTTTTAAATATTTTTTTAATATAATATTTCAATATACATACATTTTAGTGGCCTACCTATTAACAATTACTCCTCAATGCCAAAAAATATACCACCATGGAGTTGCTGATTATTTTCTCTGCTAGGGGCTAGAAATAAATTAATATCAACTATTCTCGTCTTTACAAAATTTAACCATTTATGGCTTTACTTTATTTTATTTGACGTCATACAACAGTTTTCTACAATTCTGAGGTAATCAACTCAATTAACCATTCACAAACATTTCCTCCACACTCACCGAAGCTAGTATAAGCAAATAAACAAAACACCAAACTCAATTAGATGACATAACTAAATAATCACAAACACATTCGCAAACACTACTGGGCTGTGCGAGGAGCTGAGAAAACAGAAAAAGGAGCTCAACAAGAACAACCAACAAGAACGGCGACAATTTTGAAACAATGACGAACACTGCTGCTTGAAAATTGCTTAAAATGTACTCAGAAGCCATGCCCAAGGAGCACTTGCGACAGCAGCCATAGACTTGGAGCCGCAACTGTGGCAGGAGCTGGGCGGGCCCAAGCCGCATGAGCTCCACGGCATTCCAACATGTGACGCACGTGACAAAACTTGTCAAATGACTTTACTTTGCTTTGACTGCGAATCCGTTGTGAAGTAAACAACGACAAGTTGAAGGATGGGAGGGGATGTGGTGGGCTGAGGATGTTGGGATCGTTGGTGTGGCCGAAGCATATTTCTCTTATGAAATGCGCAACTTAGAAGGCAATGCTTCTTACACTAGTCAGCATGTGTCCTTGCAGTAATTTCAACTTTTGTAAGAAAATTGACGCCATAAGTTTTTCGAATATCTTATAAACCAAATTTGAAAACACTCAATGAATGTGGGTTCGGTACTGACTGACTAACTTGAAGTACAGTTACAATCTACAATCTGCTAAAATAATACAATTGTTTCCTATTAACTTGAATTCCTACTAACTTGAAGTACAGTTACAATCTACAATCTGCTAAAAGAATACAATTGTTTCCTATTAAAGTAATATTCCCATTTTGTTGCTATAAAATTAATACTTTTGATGCGTTGGACTAAAAAATCTCAGCTGACTTTGCATGGAACTTTGCATTTTTATTTACCAAAACTTTCCAAAGCAATTGCTGATATTCTGATGACGTAATATTTAATATATGAATAATATTAAATATACTTATTCAAAAAACTATTATTTGTATTATAATATAATATTATATTTTATAATACAACGTTATAATTTCAACTTCAAAAATAAAAAAGCCTAAGAAAAAAGTATACAATAATGTCTAAGGACAGACAAAAACTTTGTTTTTAAAACTGTTTGCCTTTGTAAGTATTTCAACAAGCTTTCTGATTTTCACAGTTTTTAATATCCCAAAACATTTCCCAAAAAGTATTCGACTTGGACTTAAGTATGAACGAGAATTTTGAGGTTGACCAGTGTGGAGTCTTAAAATCCAAACACTTTAAATGAACAACAAACCTACAGTTTTCAGAGTCAAGAATTTACCGATTAAGGTCTTATTTCTGTTACAAAGAGATATCAATTCTTTGTCATTGCCGGCGCACTTCTCTTCTCTTTTTTTATTTATTGCGATATGTTACAGCTCAGTCTTCTTTGAAAGTTGCCTAAATATATAGTATGTGCTTTTTGGCATATGTACATTCTGTATTATTCTATTATTCTTACGGCTTTCGAAAAAATGTGTTAAACTCCACACATTTCCAAAGGTTCTTGCAACTAAGAACTTAGCTCAGACACTTCTGTATTTCCACATTTTCACTATCGTTTTTCTATGGCTATGATAAACATATTGCATATTACGATAAATAACAATTTTTTAATAAATTTGCATTCATAAATATGAGTAGATTTGTGAATCAGAGTTATAGGCAGGCGGAAAAATAAATATAGCTTCGACATAGATGGAAAATTTTAAACCTTTAACGCGTCCCTACAACATAGAAATGCATTTTTATATGATTATAAGAACACTTGTACAAACAAGTCTCTCCCAAGTCATCATAATCAAATGCTAATCACATAACGTAGCTATTTGTAATCGATATTTGAGCCTTTTTCTGCTTCAAGCCGTACATAAGTTAAAGGATTATTTATTAAAATTTTTATTTTTGCCATAAAGAAATATATTTTATTGCTTACTATTTTAAAACAAAGAGGTTTATATTTTCATTCCTTTATTAGTTCTGCGATAGAGTAGTGGTAGCAAATGCCGTAGAAATAGAATCAGAATTTATTTATTTATTCATTATATTTTTATGTCAACAAATATTGACAGTCGACATAAGGAATTATAAAAGTTATAAACAAGTTTTTTAAAGCTACGAAAGCCTAAGTAGGAGTAATCTAATCATATTACAATAATATGTAATAAACTATTAAAAGTAGCGATTGTAGGAGCAGAAATAGAGCAAATAGTCGCATAATTATTAGAAAAAGAAGGCGAACTAGCAGTCAAAGAAGTAGTAATAGTAAAAGAATAAGAAATCTTCACAGTAGTAGAGCACCAGCTGGACTAAAGTAGTAGTAAAATTTGCCATGCTAGTAACAAATATATAAATGCAATAGTAGGTACGTCCAAATAATAGGCAATAATGATAGACATTATTAAGTGAATAATAATATTACTAGTTGTACATATTAGTGGAAGTGATGCTACACCCTAGTAGCTACAAGAGCCAGTATTAGTAGCACAAATACTATTTAGTAATATAATTTATAGCAATAATAGTATTAAGTACTTTAAAGCAAGTGCTGTGTTGTTCAGTGTACAAGTGGAGATCTTGGGTTGGGAGGGACTTGAATAAAACAATAAAAAAGAAACCTTTCGCCAGTCAAAGAGACGTTGTGGGGTTAACTATGTGAAGCAGGGCTGGGGAGAAGGCACTTGTTGCGCTGAAGGCGCTTCTTCGGTTGCCAAAGCATTAGCTGAGTTATGAACGTCAGGCTCTAGGGTCTGTGTTGTGGGTTGTTAAGGGGCTGACCGGAGTGTGGCTGTGTTTGCGACAGCAGAAATATTTTACAAGTGCAGTGAAGTGTATTTCTATTTGATTCGCTGGCAGGCGCATGACTACACAGATTTATTTTTTTCTCTCTGCCTGCTTTCGCGGCCCCTGGGCGTTGGCTACCTCAAAAGTTAAATCGAGCACAAATGGTTAGGATGGGCATTCGAAATGGCATTGGAATGGGAAACATTTGCAAGAAGCGTCCAAATAATAGACAATAATATCGAGTTATTAAGTGATTGTAGAATTATTGGCAACAAGTCTTGTAGTAAAAGAAATGCATTCTTGGCAGACAGATGATTGCAATTATAAATTAAATACGGATTATTATATCCATTATGGTTCATAAATTTCATATATATAACTTATATGTATATCTTGCCCTATGGTTAGCCTGATAACAACAAAATAATCATTTCTTACAAATACAAAAATGTGTTGATAAAATGCCAAAGTCCCAAGTGGAAATTGGATATGCTGACCAATCCCTATGCTTTCACATTAGATACAACTTAGGAGTTTTTAGAGATAAAGTAGGCACTTAAACATATATAGTAGGCTTTGAAATATCACTAAGCAAAACGAATATAATTGCCTGTATTCGATTGCTTGGAAACTCATTCTCGTTACGACTCCTATACGGCAAACATCTCTCGGCAGTAACCAAAATTTTTTTCTATTTATCCTACTTCCGTAAACAGGCTAATGTAAGTGTAAAGGGGAGGGAGATATTGAGGCTGTCTTTAAATGAATTCAATTGGTATTAACAGAAACTATTTGCTGCAAGATGTGTAATCCTCGCATATGCTCGATGCCTGGAACGTGTTGCGGACCAACTGGCGGTTTGGGTCCCTGCGGTCTGTGTGGAGCGTATAACGGACAATGGTTCAAAGCAATTAACCATTGTTGCGGCCCCTGTGGACCCTACGGCTGTTGCGCATGCTGTGGGCCATGTGGTGGACCATGTTGTTAGCCTGCTTAGAAGGAATGTAGGATTCTAAAAAGCATTGAAAACTGGTTATGGTGGCCCCGAATGGGGAGCGATGCACGGCCTGTGGGCACTCAACAATCAATACCCACAATAGGCCATAGCCTACAATTTGCTAGCGAGGCATTTTTTTTGCTGTCAAAGCCAAAAGTGAAATTTTTTGGTTATGCCTAGGAAATAAGAGAAACAAAAATTCATAGTAAAAACATAATAATTAAAATACTTGGAGTTTTTGGTAAGGGTTCTGAAGAAGAGGGGTAAGGCTGCAGATAAATTGGACAAACGTTCATTAATGATGGGCGTGAGTTGTTGCGAAAATAAAACATTATCTAGCTTATCATCAGAAATAACTGTTGTTACCACCTTCTGCTTAAATTGCCATTATACTATCTATTTTGTTGGTGGTCTAAAACACAGCTAATTGGCTATATATTTGGCGATATATATTCTCCCTATCATACACATTCGAATAAATCTTGATATACCTGAGAAAAAGTTGCTTAAAATATTACTTTCTCTATAAATTGCTGCTTATTTTTTATTGGAAAAAAAAAGATTTTGATAGGTAAGTATAGCTTTCTTAAGCATCAGTTTTCGAGCGGCAGTTTTTCAAAAGTGTAGACGATTTTTGTGTTCTTCGTAACCTGTTAAAAGTTTGAAGTTCAAAAGTGAAACAATTTTGAAATCTTTTTTTTTTTTAAATGTCTAATCGTACAGACATTTATACATCCTTTTTTCCAACGTAAAATTTATAAAATATGGAAGCTAGACATTGCGAAAAGGTACTTTTATAGCCTCTAGTGTTCAATCAACTTTTTCTTGTTCATTCAATCATTTACAAAACTCTTGTGAGGACACGCGAAAAGCCAGAAAAGATTTATCTATTGCTTTCAAATCAGAACAAATTCCTTCTATATATTGCTTGGCGAGATTATACAGACAGAAACGAGTTGGAAAACAAAGGCATTTGTCCTTTAATTCTTCTCGCAAGCGTTCACCTGCTTCCATGTTTTGCGTTTGAATTTCTCCAACATTCCCTCTATCGTTTGGATAAATCTTAACCCAATATTGATAAATGGTGCTATTGATTGAAACCAATGCAGAAATAGTTAATGTATTCATATCACTGCTTCACATTTTCAAGTGGCTGTTGTGTAGAACAGCTTTTCGATATTTTATCATGTTCATTTGTCCGCGGGGCGCATTTAACGCTAAACTGACTCGATTGTAAATATTTGGCTCGTTTGGGCTAATGACACGCCAGGGAGTCTGCTAATGGCTGACTAAATTGTACAAAATGCCTAACCGAACAGCACTCAGAGAGTGGATGGATAGGGAAGTGTGGTCGAAGTTCTGTGTGTTTTATTTAAGGCTCACTGACAATCATGCTCTTCACGCTACGCTGTTGCTCTAAACGCATATGAATTGTTTTAGGGGGATTACAAATTTGGCGCTGAATGAATACTATGAAAATAATTTACGGGGTAATTATATATTCCAAGGGGGCCTGCGAGGTAGCGATGAAAACTAGATATACTTCATTCACTACTTGGCGCGCTTCGAGGAGTGTGCAGCGCTCAGTGAGGGGAAGAACTCGGCGCTGTTGAGATCGGGGGCCTCTCCTTTGGCCAGCTTTGTCATTGGCTTCATTGGTTGGTTCAGCGATGAGGGTGGTGGCTTTTTCTTGCCGGATGCGGCGGCGGCACAATCGCCCTGGCTATTCCGTAGAGCCGGTGGCACATAGACTTGCTTCTTGACCTCCGGCTTGGAATGAGCTTGCGATGGCGGTGGCGGCATGACCGTTGCTACTGTTGATGGTTGCTCAGTGATTTCCAATTTTTGCCAGGGACAAATACTGGCATCCTCAAGGCCCACCAGCACACCATCTCCACCAGAAGCTGAATTTCCCATGCAATTGTTGCTGTTGTCGATCGCTAGATCGCCGCTCAACTCGCCATCCTGTCTTTCGCCAGCATTATCAGTGGCCGGACCGCCAGCACCTCCGCTAGCAGTGAGTGCCATCATCCCTGATCGGGACACACTGGTAAAGTGCTTTCGATTCTCTTCAGTGAAATCGCACCACTCGTCCTCCTCATCGTTGGCATCATTAGAAAAACGTATTTTAAACTCCAGAGTGGAGGCATCGGAGGTTGTTGTGGAGATGCTATTGGTGCCAGACCCAGAGAAACTCATTTGAGTGTCGTTTGCCCGTGTCTTGCCATTGACTTCAGGCACTTTGGTCGCCTCCTCCAGGGTGCGGTACAACTCGTCGGCAGCCAAGTAGTTTGGTTTTGTTTTGGACTTCTTTTTATCCTTCTTGGCAAAAAAATCATCCAAACTGGACATTTTTATTGCTTCTTATATTTAGAGTTCGTCGCTACGCGATTAACTAATTAAAAATGAACTATTTTGAATGGTATATCCCTATTGATACCAAAAATTTTGCTTTTATTAACGAGTAACGTTAGGCGATATTGAAATCTTACACACATTTGTGACTGACACTAAAAAGACAATTAATATATGGCCTATTAAATTTCCAGCTATACATAGATGTATTTCTATTTGAAAAGCAAAATATGAGGAATACTTTTATGTGGCTTAGGACTGAAAACACAGCACAAATGATTATCTATATACGGTAGCTGCTGTCTCAAGATCAGATATTGCAGAGTTTATTGGGAGTATATTAGGGGTTCGTAAATTATTCATTAATGAAATATTAATTGGGAGCTTTAAACATTAAAGCTTTTTTGGTGGAAGAGGGGACAACGTGAAAAGTATATCTTTAAACTTTCACTACTTGCACTGAATAGTCACTAGGCATACATTTTAGGGACATTTTGTGGCCATCTTTGGATATCCATAATATATTCGCATTCGCAAATATTTAAATGGTAATTAATTTTAATAAAACAAGCATTTCTTTCGCTAGCTGTGAAGTTTTTTTTTTACCGTGTTTATTATTGTTAAACATTATTTATAATTGGAAACATTAAATAAAGTATGGAAAGTATTTAATTGTAAATTATACCAAAAATATTTAGCCATCAACAACTTTTTCAAATGTTTTTATTATAATTCGAAAACAGTAGTTTGGTTGAACAGTTTGGCGAAATTGTTCTGATGCTGTGTGAGGATGCAAGGAAATAGTTTTTCTATACATATATATAAATATGCTCGTACATTGTATTTAATATTCTTTTCAATGAAATTCATGTAGTGTGTGTGTGTGTGTAATTTAATTACACATTTGAGTGTAAGGCTTCCTATACATTGCGTCATTCAGAAGTAAAGACGGACCTGCGTGGACGAAAGGACGAATAGTGGAGGGGGAGTCAGGGAGTCAGACAGGCAGACAAACGACCACACTAATTAAATAATAAATTAGAAAAGGGCGTGCGCGCACTTTTCATATGTTGCCCACTTTTTGTTTTATGTCATTTCATAAAAAGCTTTGCGCTCACTTGCACAAATGCAATGGCAGGCGCTGACAAGGACAATTATTGCACAAACACGCACACACACATACACATATATACACAAACTGGTAATTACTCAAGCAGACGACATCGCGTCGAGTTTGCAGTCAAACATGTGCATAGAAAAACATAATGAACATATGGCACAGTGGCATAAAAAGATTTTTTCACTCAAATGTCTGTGCGGGCGTAAAGCAAGGGGACAAGTAAGAGGGCGGGGGCGATGTCATGACGCGAGCATAATTCTAATTAGTAACATATGGAAACTATATGCAGCCGGATACACAAAAAGAATTTGTTCATGTTCCCTGTGCGTAGGCGGAACAGCAGGAAATCAACGGAGAAATATACATTCGTGTATGTGTAGCCAAAAGCAAAAGCAAGCAATTCTAGAAAATAATAATAGACGCGTCATCTAACATCTTAACTGAGTTACTAATCATTTATAGTATTTCAGAGTTGAGATAAAAAGGGGTTGGGAAAAGTTAATCCCGAATACACTTGCGAAATCCCTTGCTTTAGAAAACTATTATTTTTAATCAAATGTTATCAAATGTTATCAAAATTTATACAAATAAACCTGAAATTGTATTAGTGTTTGTTTAAATATATATATATTTGTATTTTATTTGTTGATCAGTACGAGAAAAGGTAATGCTATTATATTCGAGTAAAGCATTAGTTTCTGTAGATTTCAAAGGCACTATATGTACTTCTATGACTAAAAGCTTTATGTATCTATATATGACAATCCACTTCACTTAATTTTCTTAGACTTGTTCTCGTATATAGCAACCAACTAATAATATATATTACTTTATATTTCCTAAAATGCAAAATCGTTAATTTAATAACCATAGAACTGTGTTTATTTGTTATTCGAATCTAGAACATGCAAGATAATCAACAAAAATACATACACCAATGCAAACAATTAATACTAATTTTAATTTCAATAGCCCTTAGGCCCGCACCAGCCCAATCTCCCAATATACTTCTACCTTTAATTGTTGGGACTGCTATTGGCAGCCGCTAATTAATAATTATTCAATTAACACCCAGACCACAGGAGATAAAAGAAAAGAGAAACGAAATTGGCCGGAAGCTGGCAGCTAACGAGTTTTCAAAACACATTTAATATACTTTATTAAATGTAACCCAATTATGTGCCTTCGATTTTAGTTTTTCATTTATTTACAAAGCCAATCGATATGCTGGTGCCATGAAATCGCTTCCGGTTATTTAACTAATTAACCAGTCGCTTGAGAGCTTTAGGCAAACCTTTAAATGCACGAAAACATAAATTCAATTTATGGGCATTGGAAAATTCGTCATGGGCCAAGTTTTTCTGCATTTAAGTCACATGACGCAGCTATATGGATGTGCGATGTGTCTGCCAAGTCTGCATAAAAGTTCTGAAAACCATCATTGGCCAGCAGCATGGAATCGAAAAGTGAGCGAGCAGCAAAATGTGAGATAGGGAAGTCGCAGCCAACCAAGTGAGACAACAACCAAGCGATATAACCCTCATATACACTATCTCAGGGTGTACATGACTTTGGCAGTGTGTTTGTTGCTTTAGTTTGTTATGCGAACTCTATTGTACTTTTATTTAAAAAAAAAGCCTTGATTCCAAAAACTGCATTTACATGACTCGCAAATTTAACAATCTGAACAATTGTTGATGGGTAGCTTTAATTTCGTTTCATATAGACAGACTAAAATTTATTTATTACAGTTTTTTATAAATTTGTTTTTTTAATTGAATCTCTGCTAATTTGTTTAAACACATTTTGTTCTAATTTGTGACAAACATACTTTTAAAAGTGTACTATTTATTAACCGTTAATATGAATAGAGTGTGGTTCTTCTAAAATGTTGTCTATCTATCTAAAAAACTTCTACATTCCTTGCTTCAATACAACCTGAAAATATATGGGCTAACAGTAATTAAAAGCATTTTTTTCTAATTTATATAACAATTTATTATTGAACAAATTAAAAGACAAACTTACATAAGTTAGTTTCGTTGTTTGAAAAATGTTCTTAATTAATTTCAATAGAGTCCTGTATTTCTAAAATCACGTCTATAATACTTTTACATTAGTTGCTGTAACACAATAAGAAAATATTAATTTAACTTTTGAAAGCTTCGATTGCTATTTTAGATTCTTCTTTCAGCTAATATGATATGAATCTGTAATTGAAAATAGTTGTAGTTGAAAATACGGTACATTAGTTGCTTTAACAAAAAAATAAAATATTAGTACACTTTTCGATTGCTATTTTAGATTCTCTTCAACAAGTTTTTTTCAGCTATTGTGATATGAATCTGTAATTCAAAAGTGCATTTAATATTCGATGCTGAAATTAAAAATACTTCCTGTTTGTATGTTTTTTTTTTTTTTTTGGCAAACACTAAAAATATTGGCGCCACCTTGGCGGGCCGTCTGCATTGGCGGCGTCTCGTCTCCAGCTTTTGCTCAACCCACAGCTGTTATTGTTATTGATTTTGCTGTTGATGCGGGAAAGTCCTGTGCCAGGGCTCCGGCATGATGCATAATTTTGAAACACCCTGAAAGCAGCATCAGGAGCAGCAATGAGTCTGCTTCTGATGATGACATCATCATCATCCAACAATTTTCAACTTCGCGAATTTTGCTCACAGGGGTGAATGAAAATGTGTGACTCTGCACATGTGTGTGTGTGTGTGTGTTTGAGTGTGTTTGCGGAAGTGTCTGCTGCTCACATTGTACGATATGTGTATGAACATTTTATTTTATGCTTATTATGGCTCTTTTCGCATCACCCTCGCACACAACTTTAAAGCTGTTTACTTTTGTGTTCATAATTTCCAACTTCCAACCCAACTCGACTGTCACAATTGTCGCCTTGCGTCATATTTTAGATTGCTTTAGTGAGTCACAATTGTGCATAATGGTATATTTATTCTTACCGGGCATTAAACTAAATTGTTACAGCACATTTAAATTATAAAACCTTTTTGTCACGTCATGTCAAACGCACGTTTTCCACTCCTTTCCACATGCATGCTTCACGCTTGGAAATTTGCTCAATTAGCGAAGTTAGTTGCATACGCATGGACACGTTGCATAGTCACACAGATTTCCACATGTTTCTACAACGTTTCGAGTCTCGAGTTCGAGGCGTTGGGAAATTTCCAGCAACTTTTCAAATATAATGCAGGTAGATGATTGGCCAGACAAATAAGTTATTGAACTAAAGATGAATATGAAATTGAATGGTGCAAATATTTGTTGCTTTACATTTCGAATATTCGCGTTACATTCTTAAATCCCTCTTAAATTAATAAATAAAACTATAAATTTCTTGGTACGAAGGAGCAAGAAATCCGATTAAAATGCCTAACTTTTAAGAAAGCCAACAAGTAAAACAATTGCCTCTAAAATTGCTGCAACTATTTGAAATATTTGCCATTTATTCCAATTCATATATATATAATTAATGTGTTGTTATTGTAAGTCTAGTGCTCACATTGGTAACACTAAGCTGTACTAACCAGAGCTATAAATAAAGTAAAAAATAATAAAAATGTAGGAAGGGCGCAAAGCCAAACGAAAGCTTGAACTTTTGCCACCGCTTCTGTACACGCGTAATACACACTTAATTATCATTCGAAGCGGCAAAGCCAAACAAACCAGCAACCAAATGAGGAGGAACATGAAGAGCAAGAGCAATAGAGTGCTGGAGCTGGAGCTGGAGCTGGCAAACAAACAAACAAACAACTAACAAAGAAATTATTGTGCGAGCACACTCCAAAAGTCCTACATAAACATTATTAGTAGCATACAACTTGGGGCCACGTTGGAGTCTAATAAGAGCTCTAACACACACACACACTTATAAATATATATATATAGTACGTACATATGTATGCATGCATGACTTACATGCAAAACTGGTGCTCTCATTTTACAAA